TCGCCAATCTAAGTATAATGCAATAATTATTTTTTTAGATTTTGAAAAAGCATATGATCATGTGGATTGGTACTTCTTGGACAAGTGTCTAAAGAGTTTGGTTCTTACTTCAGAAGGTGAATCGAACTTTTGCATCACAATGCTACCACTAGAGTGATGATTAATGGTAATGTTGCCCCACTTATCTCATTACATCGATTAGTTAGGCAAAGAGACCCGATTGCGTCTTTTCTGTTTGTCATTGTAATGGAGGTATGAACAACCAACCTAAGAAAACATAAGGATATCAAACACATCCAAGTAACATCCATATCTAAGGAAGCTATACCCGTCTACTCCTTATTTGTTGATGATCTATCTCTCATGATAGAAGCATCACATGACAATCTGGCTGCTGTACAAAAAATGATGGACAAATTTTGTCGCTTTTCTGACATGATGGTCAACTGGGGTAGTAAGACTCTAAGATAGTGGATCCACCATTAGGGGGTACGGCCTCTAGAACAACTCAGAGTGAAATGAGTCTCATTGGATAAATCAGTAAGAGTTATGAAAATCTTACTCACTGCAGAAGGAAAACCACTGCTAATACACACAAAACTAAAATTATGGAAAAACAAGCATACCTCTGTAATGGGAGGTGTTATAGTTCTTAATAATGTAGTACTGACGTCTATCTGGTACAAGTCGGCTATATGACCTATGACAAGTAAGCGCTTAAGATTCTACAAAGACAAGTGGTAGCGTTCCTATGACGCGTTAATCATGAGAGTCAAAATGTCATTAGCAGGGTAGCTTGGCAATCAGTGATGCAACCTACAGTCAAAGGGGGAATGGGTGTCATTGACCTGACAACACAAGGAATGATGTTATCCATCCAATGGATCAAGAGACCATTCTTTAACCCTCGGACTCCCTGGAGTGGGTTGGTATGAGATCAGATAAGGCGTTTAGCTCCAGAATCCCTAGATAATATAGATCCAATGACATGGCTGAAAAATAGATCATTGTCTATTCCTAGGATATTATCAGGGGATGTGGAAGACCAAGTAACCTCAGACCATCAAGCAACTAGAATGGATTTGGGTAAGGATCCGTTTTGGCCTACCCTATTAAAAACATGGAGAAAACTTTCCTTACCAGATAAGGTGGTTCCTGATAGATGGAAGAAGTGTACCAACAACCCCTATTCAATAATGGTTGGATTAGGAACTCACAAGGTAGTGTTCGCCATTGTATAGACTCTCCTTGAAAAAGTTGGATAAGGAAGGGTATCTTGCGTATCAAGGATATTTGGAATATAGACACTAAGGACTGGATATCCCGAGATGAATTGTAGAGTTGGCTGCGATATTGCCATTATTCAGTGGAAGCACTGAAACAAGTTATTGAATTGATCCTCTTAGACTGACTTTGGATACTCATAAAAGGGTCTAAGCTGGAAGATGAAGATTGAGTATTTATATTAAATCAATCTGGTTTGATTAAAATATCTTACAAATTAATCCCAATGGTGAAACTTTGTTGGTCATATACAGGTTAGTACATGGTAATACAATTTGCCCAAATCCTAAGGAGGAGACTGAATGGGTTGATGGTGAGAAAATATTTAGGATCATAGTCTTGAAGTATAACACCACATGGTTGACATTTAAACCCAATACGCCTATCCATTGTCTGGCATTAGATCCCATTAATTGGGTATGGGCGCCTGGAGGAAGAGGTTGAGGGTATAAGAGAATGCTTCACATCTTGTCAGTCAAATCAACATATAGGATGTTGAGACCTAATATAAATATAAAGGACAAGGGGTGAACAAATGGATGAAACAGTTGAATTTAAACAAAGAAGTTCTCAAGCCAATTAAATGGTTCCGAAATATGAGATCTAAATCAACCAAAGTGGCCTCGTTACAATGGCAGATTGAGCATGGATGCCTTCCTACAAATGATTGGTTAATTAGTATAACTACACTGGAACAAAAGGGGATAGCTCTCCCCTGGTGTAGATTTTGTAGGTATGCTTTCCCGGTAAGATCAATCCGTGAAACAATTGAACATATCTTCCTGCAATGCCCAGGGGCTATTTGGTTGTGGAGATGGTGGGACCGTATTCGGGACACACTGGGTACCTGTTGCCAGTGACCCTGGGATTGGAAGGCAATTTTGCTAGATACCTGGGTACCAGAGTCATATGACGTGTTCACTCATAACTTATTCATTGTTGGAAGAAGAGTGGTACTTTGGGCTATATGGAGGAGATGTACCTATGAAATGGAAGGGGCAAGATTGGATGGTCTTGAATTTACAGATTCAATTAAGCAACAAATTCAAACGGTGATCAGGGCACAATGGGATAATATCAAGGATAAAATTCAACATTAACATTCAGATATCAAGAATTTAGCTGCAGCTGGCCTTGGGGCCCCCAAAGGGGGAAAATTGGACAGGTCGAGTGGAAAGAGGATGAGAGAGAGGAAGCCAAAGAGGTAAGTAGAATCTACTATCTGAATTTTGAAGAATGGTCTGTGGTGGATCCAAGGATTCCAATGAGACACTTGTGGGAATTCCCAGACCCCTTCCTCCACAGTCAGGATGTTTAGTTCCATGATCATGGTTCGGGAATGAATAAGGGTTCTTTAGGTTTGTTTTTGGTTCTCAGTGTTAATTCCCAAACTGTTTAAGGAGAGATACAAGGTAGTGTATATGAGAGGAATCGGGCGCCCACAAGAAGGTGAAGAGGCTTAAGTCCCTCTAGTAGTTAGCATGGTATCTCTGTTAAACCACTAGTACCGTTAATAATAATAAAAAATGTAGCCTATTGTCAGTAGATGTGTTGCGGCACTGCTGCCACCATCCGCACCTATACCTTAGTTGTTCACTAGACCTCTTTCCAGTCGCTTGTGGTATTATTCTTGTTTTTTTGACCTGGTTTCTAAGAGGTGCTGCTCTCCACCAAGCCACCATCCGCCCCCTCCTCCCTTGATCGTTCACTGACCCATCTCCAGCCGGTTTTGTAGTTGTACTGCTATATGTTCTAGTTCGATCTGGAGGTTGCAGCCTATTGCCAATAGATGTGCTGCGATGTGCTGCGGCACTGCTGCCACCATCCACACCTCTACCTTAGTTGTCCACGAGACCCCTCTCCAGTCATTTGTGGTTGTACTATTCTTATTATGGTCATTATTAATTGTATATCATGGGACGTTGGACCCAGTTTCCAGCAAGTGCTTTATCAGCTCCTTTTTATTGGTGGGGAGCAGCACCTGCTGGAAACTTGTTCTAGTTCGATCTGGAGGTTGTAGCCTATTGTCAGTAGATGTGCCATGGCACTGCTGCCGCCATCCACACCTCTACCTTAGCTGTCCGCTAGACCCCTCTCCAGTTGCTTGTGGTGGTACTATTCTTGTTCTGGCCATTATTAATTGTATATCATGGGATGCTGGACCTGGTTTCCAGCAGGTGCTTTACCAGCTCCTTTCTATTGGTGGGGAGCAGCACCTGCTGGAAACTGTGTCCAGCGTCCCATGACATACAATTAATAATGACCACAATTAATAATGACCAGAACAAGAATAGTACAGCCACAAGCGACTGGAGAGGGGTCTAGTGGACAACTACGGTAGAGGTGTGGATGGTGGCAGCAGTGCCGCAACACATCGACTTCCAATATGCTACAACCTCCAGATCCAAACTAGAACAAAAAGCAGTACAACTCAGTGCCGGACCCGTGAACGTGATCGGGACCGGTCACCTGAATGTGACCGGCCGTTCACTGGGTCCGATTTCCGTGAACGGCCATTCACGGGGGCCGTTCACGCCCCTGGTGGCCACGTGGCGGCCCGGGTGGTTGGGGTCGGGGTGTGATTGGGGTCGCGCGGGGTCCAGCTAGGACCCCATACCTTCAAAACAGAAAAAAAAAAAAAAAGCAGGACATGGGTGTGTGTAAAAAAAA